AAAAAGATGACAGATGTTAATAACGTCATATATGCAACACCTTTGTTAGCTACTGAAAACCATAATGTTACGGAAAATAAAAGATTGAACAAGATAAGAAGAACCGACTTGGAAGAGAAAATTAAAGCGAGAAATTGAGAAAATCAAATGTGAGTTGTTGATAGGATATGAGATTTCAAGTAATATAAATATTTTGAACATTGAAAAGCAAGATCAAGCCGAAATATAAAATGAAAGCACCAAATTAAAATTCCACTAATCAAGGAAATACTAAAACTGATACTGCCAGTGAGAACAAAACGATATAAAATCCTTGTTGTATTCATATTGACAAAATAAGATATACCAAATGGACATCAAAATATTTAACACGGGATATAGAATAGCTGTTACAGAAGTCAAAAAGCCACCATTTATTCAAGAAATGCAAAAAGTTTGGGAGAATATTTGTAGTAACTAAAAGAAATATAATTCCAATGCAGAGTGGATCAAAGAAAACAAGAAAAACTAATGATAAGAACTGTACAAGAGTAAAGAAAATATAACAAAGAATAATGTTATGGAAGTTCTAACAAAATCCAAAAATGGAAATCTCAAGGATATGATAAGAGATTCAACTTTTGGTTTTATAGTCTCTCATAAATCCATACATCACTTGAGCAAACTTTATCAATTCTAATTAATATCCCCAATTAAATTCCAGTATTGATCACTGAAGGTATTATATATTTCCTGCCAAAAACGAATGAAACAGATGAACCAAAATATATAGGTCAATAAGACATCTGCCCACCATATAGAAATTGATCACATTTGTCTTGACAAACTGTTCACACTCTTTTCTTGCTGCAAACAACATTCTACACTCGGAACGGAAGGGATACTGAAGATGTTCATATAGTTAGTATGGATGCAAATTAAAACAAAAAAGTGTTTAATCATTTATGGATGAAATAAAACTCTTTGACAAAGGCGATAGTGAGCAGAAGGGTATCCTCAGCACTGTAAAATATTTCTGAGATGTCATTGTATTGATTTGGTATACATAGGTAACAATCAAGAAAGGAAGAGTTACAGAAACACTCATTAGATTTAGATTTTGTCACCAAGATTAAGGAAGTCGAACAAGTAGGAGCCTATAAATACCCGCATTCCGAAATTGAGGAGTAAAATGATTATACTACACACCTGTGCCCCTGGTGTTAAACACAAATTGAAATCACAAAAAAAGAGAATATCAGCCATAATCATTTTGGCTATCCCCGTCGTCCAATACAGTTTTAACACCTTTAATTGTACCATAGCTGTTATTAAGCTAATGGATGTCAAATCGAGAAAGCTTCTCATTTTTCCCGGCATCTATCATCCTAAGGCTGATGCTGATCGTTTGTGTTTGTTCAGATCTGAAGGAGGTAGAGGTTTTCTTCAGCTCGAACCATCGTAAAAAACACAACAATCGGTTTTCAAAGATTTTGGAAATAAGACTGGATGATGAACTGTGTCAACAAATATGAAAGATATGAAAGAAATATTAGTCAATAATAAAACAAGCCAACAAAATCAAAAGGGTATGCCAAGTGGATGAAGAAGTGCAAATAAACCATTTATACACCTATTGCAGCAGGCAAAGACCCTAGAAATCAAGCAAAAACAAATGAAATGAAGTAGATGCAGAAACGATGGTAAGATCGACCTCTTCATGGTCAATACTCTGCCCGTACCAAACAAGATGGTGTAGACAAATACCGTACCCACCAGTGGTCAAGTAGTGCAGAGTTAAAATCAGAAACCGATAGTTTTATCCTTGCTGCTCAGGGCCAATTCTTGCTAATATGAAGTTACAAATTAGACATACTGAAAAATTATGTTTTACTGAAATTTATATCCATAAAAAACTGACAACCTTGTATCAGGTTGCACTGAGTTAGCACCAACTGAATATAAAACTGGCGATGATCGACAGGGTCCAATATCTGCACTGGAATATATGCCACCTTTACGGGAAGAAAACTGTAAGGAACTGGTATCCTTATTGCCCTCACCCGGTTACAGAAATAGGATCTGTTTATGGGATTTTCAGATACACTTAGACAGAAGATTAAAAGCTGATCACAAAGACATCATGATGAAAGACGACAAGAACAGAATGTGTTTTCTTATTGACATGGCAATTTCTGCAGATTGTAATGCATCTATTAAGTTTTTCTTAAAACTATCAAAATACAAGGATCTTGAAATATAAATCTCGAAAAGGTGGCACATGGTTATGACAGACTCACTGAAGGGATCTCTGGTAGCCCATGCTTTTAAGAAATACAAAAAATATACTCGCAAGTAGTGTTTAGACATTACAAAGAGATTTATCTTTTTAAAATGTTTGTGATCTTAGAGTTTTTTGCATTTTTTTTGTTTTAAAAAATGTTCAGTGGAAATAGTTATATGTCTATTTCTGACCTTAGGTCTCTGTTCGTCACCCGGAAGGAAATACGTATACAACAGAAAACCAATTAAATAATAATAATAATAATAATAATAATAATAATAATAATATTAGTAGTAGTAGTAGTAGTAATATGCCTGATATACCCCGTTATGACATTAAAGGCTCCTGATCTTAACTGATTGAAGGTCTTATCATCTACATATTTTGGGTTTGGTGGGTTAAGATCGTGCAAATATTCCTTTAATTACCATAGATTTGCTTTTCAGTTATAACACCTTAATCAATTGGACATGGCCCCAGGGGATGACACACTATATCCTCCAACCAGGCGATGACACACTATTGCCACACCACAAAGATATGATACACTATGCACCCACTACCAGGGGATGACAAACTATGTCCCCCACCAGAGGATGACACACTATGAATATAAGTTCATCCGCAGGATTAGTATCTATCGCTTTTTCTTTCTTTAGGTTAAAAATCATAAACATCGATATACATGGGAACGTCCTCAATTGAAGATCGACTTCGCAAACATGTCTAAATTGGAAAACGTGTCTAACGATTTGCAAGTTTATTGGTTGATTCTATCAAAGCATGACCCCATATCCTGCACATTTAGTTGTTATGCATGAGCCTAGTTTAATGACACTTTGTATGCAACTTCCCGGCCATATTGAAGACAAACAGTGAGTAACCTTAACAATGTTGTGTAAATGGATGTCAGAAGGAGGGTCAGATATAATAAAGAGACAAACATTGCTAAGAACTATGAAAAAAGGAAGTTGTCGATAAGTATGGGTGCCCACATCCTGAAGAGATACGGCTCATAAAAAGAGAAAATATATTTGTACCTTGATTTTGTTTTCCTGTAGTTCACTGAATCAAGCAATCCTATAAATATTATTAATAATAGAACGAAACAAGTTAGCAAATGTCAGACAATATATCATGAAAGAAAAGAATTGTAAAAATGATGAATTACATGAGTGACCCAAGAGATAAAAAACATTTCTGCAAATGTCTTGAAAAACTAAGCAGATACAAAGACCTGGTGATGCAAATAGAAAATAAAATCTTCCTTCCTGGTTGGAACTTACTTTCTGATAAAGAAAGGAACTCAAAGAAAAAATAAAAATATCTCTTGTGCACAACGTCTCCAAGAAATCAAAAAATTGTTCTAAAAAGGACAACCCATATCTTGAGATGAGCTTTGTACATTTAAGTTTTTTATTCGATTGATTGATGTTTTCTACGGTTTCTCAATATTTTGCAGGTCATATAAAATGATAATATTTTTATATTGTAAAATTCTTACAAATTAACTCATAGCCGAGGGGAGAAGCAGTGGATCATTGCCTTTTTCCAACGGTATTTGAGCGCAAGTGAACATAACGAACCCAACTGAAATGGGAACACGGCTCTCCGATTACCAGTTTTGAACTATTATCCATTATATCACCTGCACATCAACGCTTACAGTAACCGTTATTTGCAACAGGTCACCCATCTAGGTTAAGACCAGGCTTGATGTTGCTTATCTTCGTTGATGAATGCTGTTTTCACGTAACATGACCGTAAGCACTTTAAGCTTTTTTTTTTCTATTAATAATAACCGTCAATTCACCAAGAATCATATCCGATTATTGTGCTCGGCCATTGGTTATGAACCTATAAATGATTATAAAACAAATACATATAAAATAATGTTTTATAATAATAATAATAATAGCAAATGTATGTTGACAGTGTTGGTTTTTGTTTTTGTTTTATGGCATATCAACCGCAATGGGTTATTTAATGCCTACAAAATGTTTATTGCTGCTAATAGTTTCTTTCAAAAATATATTATTGGGAATATTTTTCCTTCAAAAATCTATTTCTGGTGATAATCTTTTATTTTCAAAAATGTATAGCTGGTAATAATTTATTTCGAAAAATGTATTGCTGTAATAATTTTTTAGAAAGCATTTCTGGTATTAAAACCTATCTTTACACTTTCTTAGTGTTTTTACCCCAGTTTAGGGGGTGTAGCTGGGACCCTAACAGTGGCTACCACCTCGGTTCAGGGTGAAGCTGGGAACACCAGAAGTTAAAAGGTGGTTCCACGCTTCTCAAAGCCATTTGATCTTGCAAGTGATATTTGGACCCATCAATATTAGAAAGCTTTGAAGCCTACAGAAGAAAATAACGAATATCCAATAAAAACTGGAAAAAACCTTTATGGAAAAAGCATCGAAGCGCTAAGATGACAATAATCAGTCAGAACAGGGCGCGGAAGTTTAGAGGAAACTTGTTGTCACTTGATGCTTAACCAGAAAACAGGCGTGATGTGAAAATTCCCAACGACGATATAGACACAGAATTTAAGTGAAATACATCTTGATGAATGAATAAAAGAAGGCTATCAGTTTGAAACCTGACAAGTGAGTTGCTATGCCCTCTGTGGCTTTTGGGGTGTGGCTTGTTGGTGCAATGAGGTGTGATTGATGTGGGGGTCAAATGTGAGAAGAGGGCAGAGAACAGAATTGAATAGGGAGAAGATGAACCGCTAAATGAAGAAAACGGTGGCCAATATCGTGGAGTGTGGGGGAAAGGATTTAGTCGTGATGAAAAATGAAGAAAAGGAGATGAAGAAAATGACAATGAAACGAAAAAAGAACGAGAAAGAAAGAAAGAAAAAAAGAAAGAAAGAAAGAAAGAAAGAAAAAAGAAAGAAAGAAAGAAAGGATATGAACTAAAAAAGATAACATTGGAGAAATATATTTTAGAGCCAATATCGGCTCTAATATCGAACAAAAAGGGATAAACTCGAAAAGGAAACAATATCGTACAAAATAGGAAAGAATCGAATAAAAAAATGTACAGAAGAAAATAAAGCTTATTCTAAGAATAATGAAAAAGAGAGAGAGGAAGAAAGGAAGAGACAATAGACTCATAGAAAAAGAGAGAGAAAGGAAGACAGCAGAGAAAATAGAAAAAAGACAAATAAAAAAGATTAATATTAAGAATTTACAGCAAAATCTTAGCGGATAGAAATAAAAGATTCGCCATGATTAGTTAAGGGAGGAGGCTTGAAATGATGACTAAATGAATAAGGAAACAAAACCAACAACATCTATGCATGTATGTATGTAGGAACGTTCCCTTACTGACCATGAGAACCGGGTTCGAATCTCACCAGGGTCGATTTGTCAGGAAGTTAAATTCTTGTTGCTATCGGTCTGGAGGAGACGATCCAAGCATGCGGCACCTTTGTGAGTGAAATTTGGTAGACGGAACAGTTGAGGAGCCATCGGTGATTGTGCTAGCACGAAGGCACAAGACATCGTGGCTGAGGGTTCGAGCGTGCTGGCCTTGATAACGCGCATTCTCCCAAAAACTGTAACTTGGTTCCACTCAGCATAGTTGAACGGAGCTCTGTGGGTGTTGAACAAACTTATAAGTGCCTGAGCAGGCGTCTACAAAGGGGATAAGCTAACCACGCCAGGTGAGGTGCATCCTCGGATACGAGTGGCCAGCCATTGCTACTATCTATATATGTGTGAAGACTTTATCCGAGAGTAACAAAACCTGATGAAATATAAATACGACATTTGTACTTATTACCTGTGTATTTAATGAGTATCGAAAAGTATTGAACAGGAGTTCAGGTTGATCCCTTGTTTCTTGTTTATGATTGGCTTTCCTGCTCCTTCTAATATCTTCTCATTCTCTTTTACTCTCAGTATTCCCTTACACTTTAATTTCATTACCCTTGCACGGTGGGTGTGGATTGTTTAATATATAGATATATAGATACACATATTTGAGCAAATGCACTGTCTGTTTAATTAAACATTATTAATTAGATTTACTCGCCTGACTGTTCTAGGAATCTCTGAGAAAATAGGCGTCCTTTGACAGGAATCGAATTTGTACCCTGTCATGAAATACCATTAAGTCTGGTGTGTATGTCCGTTCAGCCACAGAGAACTTCCAGTTAAGAAAATCTCGATTTATTGTTTTTAATACACACACGTTCGGCGATCTTTCTCACTCTATCATATCTGCTCTAATATTGTCTCCGAACGTAAACAAGAATAACATATCATATGAAATGGATTAAATACTTAACATATTTATATTTCTGTTTATACGTTATTATTTATGGATACAATTATTTCAGTAAATGTTCTCTTCTTTTAGTTAAGCAGCATTAATTAAATTGACAAACCTGAATCGAACCTTCATCCCATACAATACCACCATTAGGTCTGGAGTGCTATGGACGTTCAGCCATAGAGAACAAAGCATGTACTATAAATAAATATGTATAATACGCCTTCATCAATAATACGCACCCCTAAAATTGTGCTGAAATCGTGGGAAAATGTTTCTACTCAAACATAATATGCATGCATTGTTTGGTAATCAAACCCTATTATACATCTCCATTTTCATCACGGCCACCTTTTCCTACTCTTATAAAAAATGATTTTAAACATAGAATATTATTATTCCAATTTAGTTTTATGATAATTCTTATTTTATTTTACATTTGTAAATATTGTTAGGTGCATATCATTGTATTTGACATCCTTATGGCGTCACAATCATCGGATGTTAGTTTTAAATTGTCTTAAGTTTGTGGCGAGTAGTCATTTCGCAACTAAAGTTGATAATTTTTAAAGAATTTTTTATAGCTGTGCATAAAACCCACTCCTAATTTTGCTGATTATTTTTTTTCAAAATTGCGTATTATACATGGGGAATTAAGTTACTTAAAATATTGTATAAACAGAAAATATGTTAAACATTTTTCGGATTTAATCAATTTCCTATGATATGTTGGTATGATTGACGTCAGTATGCAAACACAGAGTAATTATATATATATATATATATATATATATATATATATATATATATATATATGTATATGGGGGGTTATGACAATTTATTATGTTTATGCATCCTTTTTATAGATACAAATATTTAAGTAAATGCTCTTTTTATAATAAACATTATTAACGACATTTACTTACCTGAATGTCCGAGAAATTTTCATAGAAAATATGCATCCTCCGACATATAGCCTGACGTGATTTACCGATTCAACCACAGAGGAGAGTTTCAGTTAGCAAGATCGATTTTACTGTTTTTAAACAACAATTCTTCATTATTTTTTCTCGTACATTCATATCTGCTCGATGCGTATCCAAATGTAACCAAATGACGTCACAGATTATAAAATGGAAAATGTCCGACAATTATTTTAAGCCATTTTTTTATAGATCAGACCAAAATGGAATATAGCAGCAGCTTCTTTTTAAGAACAGTTACATTGTGAAACAAACTCGCATAAAATACTTTTTTTCCGATCGCTACAATCTTAAATTCTTCAAGTCTACTGTCAACTGTTATCACTCTTGCAGATACTCATAACCTGCACTTCTTACCCCCTCCATTTATATTCGTACATCAATCAAATTCAGAATTTAGTTTATGTTTTTTTTTCACAGTATTAGGTTGCCAAAAATCTCATTAATTTCAAAATAAATTGGTTAGATTTAACCATAAGTTCTATGCTAACAATTACATTTCTCACATTTCTAGATTCCTAAAAAACTATTCCGGTTCCATGCTTTCCTGTACACTTTGATCTTCAAAAATTTAGATGCAATGTTAATCTTTATCTACTAACTTCCTGCTTATTCTTCTATTGTTCTCGCTCCTTAATAATGTTCTTGTTTTCTAAATCTTTAACAACAATTAACCCACTGTATCTTAGAGGCTTTACAGCCTTGCTTGGGGTAAATTCGAGTTTTAAAAAATCTATAGAAAAATAGTAATGGTATTAGATTGAATTAAAAAGGAAAACAAATTGAAACTTTCGATCTTCTGCCAAAATCAGAACAAATATTTTCCTAGGTTTTATATGCACACTTGAATTATTAATGTTAACCCAGAGGCTATAAACTATCAATATTTTTACTAAGTGAAATAATAATAATGTTAAATGTAAATATGTGAGATTTATACGGAAAGTATTTATTTTGTCAATTTTTACCATGGCACTATAGCCATCCCAGTCCTTTTACCAAACCTAAATCCAAAATTCTGTAATATTAAGCGTGCATAGAAAAGGTTAACATGCAATGTTGATGTATGTGGGAAGCAAATGTTTACCTAGATTCCGTAGACTACTATAACCCAGCTAAATTTACAATGCTGTAGTAAAAGCAGGATCTGATATGCCATCGAGTCCGTTTAGTCAATTTAGCAGAACGTCAAAAGTGGGTAGCAAGGGTAGGAAAATTGTGCCCCGTCTGTTTTGTTTATCTTTCTGCACTTGCCCAACAACAATCGAAATACTGGCCATTTTATTAAACTTCAAACGCTTATCACTGCAACTGGTTTTAGAGTATGCAACTTACTACGCCACTAAGCGTTTAAATGTTTTATATTTTATCTCCAAAGTAAATTGATAAAAAAGGAAGAAAGAAAATATGGAAAAGGAAAGAAAATTAAAAACCAAGTAAAAATGAGCAAGAGAAATAAATGATAAAGAGAGGGCAAGAAAGAAAATGAAAGTTAAAACGAAAATTAAAAGTAAAATGAAAAGAGAGCGAAACTAAAGGAGAAATGATGAAAGAAAAGAGAAAAGGGTGAGATAGAAGATGAAAGCAAAAATGAGAGTAAGGAAGAAAATAAGTAAGAAAGAAATTAGAGATAACTCGTACTATTTACATTATTCGGAATATTGCCCTCATCTTCGTTGTCAGATTCACAATGTTACGGCCGTCGTACGCTCCAGCCTTCTTCAGGTGATTGGAATTTCGAAATTCCAATCACCTGAAGAAAACTGAAACGTGCAACGGCCAAAACATTGTGAATATGACAACGAAGATGAGGGCAACATTCCGATTAATGTAAATAATAAAATTAATCATAATACCTCATCTCAGAGATATAGACATATATATAAACCGATATATATGTAAAGGCCGGAGCGTAGAACGGCCGAAGCGTTGAGAATATGGCAATTAAGATGAGGATAACAGACTGCATAAGGTAAATAATAAAATTAATCATAATACCTCATCTCAGAGATATTGACAGAAGTAGAGATAAATTAAGTAAAATACCGGAATGAAGGAATAGAATAAAAATAAAAACGAAAAAAAGACAGAGGATAGACAATATAGCAAATACAAAAGTGAATCGATTAAAAAGAATAACACGAATAAGTGCGTTGGACAGTAAAAGAATACAGGAATAATATAACCCTAGACAACTAACCATCAATTAAAGTTACACCACTACTAACCATGGGTATATCATACCCGATTTCGAAAATAACAAAACAAATATTAAATATAAATCTTTACCTGAAATATTTTCCATGCAAGCACTTCAAACTTTGTACTTTGAGTTAACATTAATAGAAACGGAAAAACGTAATATCTAGATAAGAAAATCATGTACTGAATATTGTAATTAAAACGAGGAACATTTGTGTAGTGTACTATATACCCATGGTGAGTGTTCTAGGGTTAAAGAAAGAGGGAAAATACAAAATGATTAAAATAACGAAGTGTTAAGTTAAAATAAAAATCGGCAATTTAGAAAATAAGAATGGTAAAGTAAAAGAGAAAGAAAGCAAAGTGAAGATAAAATAGATATAGAAAAGAATACGACGTAAAATGAAAAAATATCTCTGAAATAATAAATCTGAAAAGCGAGGATGATGATGATACTGATGAGAGAGTTAAACAGAGATCAGGAAAATAAAAAAAATTAAGTAAAAATAATAAAGAAAATTTAATGTTGGAAATTGGACGAAAAATAACGAGAAAAGAATAAACAAATGGCATGTAATGTATTTTTTCATTTTCGTATGAGAACAAGAGATTTCGTTTTTGGACTTGGTGTGTGTAAAATTTTTCGAAACGATTATGACTTCCTTGCACTTTCAGCTAATCTATCAGGTATTTTCATGGATTTTATAGTGTAAGTGATATTGTAAATAGTCTGTAAATTGCTGAAACGTAAACATATTTTAGTTCCCGAATACAGCCAGTACAGTGTCGGCATGTTTGTAGTTGATGTTGTTTATGCTGTTTTTTTTTTATAACTGTTAATGTTTTTTACAGTTACAGGTGCGTATCTTATCTCTATTCTCAACGAGTATGTCATGTATTCCCGCCGAGAGTTTTTCATACTGTCTTAAGTATTTATTGAATATCTGTTGTGGATAATATAGGGTCAGCCTTCTTAATAAGAAAATGTTGATATATCCGACATCAATGTTCATCAATCTGTAATATTTTCTACACACATTTTCCTTTAATCACTTTTTAGTTTATTGAATATTGTTGGTACACTTCTTTTCTTAGATTTCGTATTTTAGTATTACTTTTATTTTTATGAAAACTTCTTTTTCATATAAGAAAATTGTCGTACCTTTTAATGAAACATGTATAATAGAGAGATTGCTGCAGAAAAATTCAACACGATAGATAGATAGATAGATAGATAGATAGATAGATAGATAGATAGATTCAAGCACAAATGCAAAAACGACTGAGATAGATGTATGAACCTCGATAAAATCTTCATTTTGTTTACCTATTTATGCATGTACAAATATGCACACATATTATTTAAATGAGTATATGTATATAGTATTATTACGAATAACGCATAATAGTCACAATGTGTGTGTGTGTGTGTGTGTGTAAATGAATTGTGGTATGAGTTAAGAGGTAAGGACAAGTAAAGGCGATTTCGTCCAATTCCTTCTAACAGACACTGCAGATTTTTTTATGTCTTTTATCGTAACAGAGAAAATATATTTGAAGTCTTTTGATAAAGGAAGTGAATATAATCTGATGTCATTTTTTTTTACAAAAACGTCAATAAAATATAATAAAAAAAAACAATGTTTTTAGGCAGAAATGGCGGAAAATGATAAATGATGTCTGAATATAAGAAGTTGCCGGGCTAAAGAAATTCTAATGGAAGAAGAAGAAGAAGAAGAAGAAGAAGAAGACGATAACGATGATGATGATGGTGATGATGATTTAAAAATTTAAACGTGAGCTAAGGATTCAGAATGAGTAAACGCGACATATATGATAAGTAAAGCAATGGAAACAATGAAAAAATTAATGGTAGTATCAGTAGCAATGACTATAGTAGTAGTAGTAAAACGACAATATTAATAATAATACTTATATTTTCTTCGATGGAGCATGAAAATTGGTAATAATAATTTTTATTCTCTTTCACAGAAGAAGTAATAACAATAATAAAATTGGGAAATATTTTTATTTTAAATAAAGTATCTATTAATATTAAGTATGTCAGACATAAAAATGAACCTAAAAAGCACGGGGAAAGAACAGCACGTGAAAGCAATAAGACTGGAGGAGAGGAAGGGGGTTTATAATGAAGTACAAAAGAATTCTGATTATGGTTTTATCATTGATAAAAAAGAAAAGAAGAAAAAGTGAAAGGGAAAGAAAGGAAATCATTTGTTGCAGAAAGAGTGTGTACCTGATGAACTTAAAAAGGACGAAAGACAGAAAATGCTAAACCGATAACTAGAGTGCCAAAATTCTTCTTCTTCAAAAAAAAAAAAGAAATGACAAGCATTAAAAAAAAAAGAAAGAAAGAAGGACTATACTGATGAAGAATTGGGCTAACATAAATAAATTTTACAGACGGATCTATGAAAATATCGAAAGAAATCTGAGAATTTTAAAAACGTACAAGTTGTAGAGCACAACATAAGATAGATATTATATGAAGACAAGTAAAGATGGAAGTGGAGCATTTTAGAAACTCGGGTAAAACTGGTACTATACAACAAAAAGAAATTTTTAGAAATTCCTCTATATCTCTGAGATGAGGTATCATGAGTGCTTGCATTGTTTACATTACTCGGGCTGTTATTCACATCCTCATTGCCATATTCACAACGTTTTGACCGTTGTACTCTCCGGCCTTCTTTAGGTGATTGGAATTTCGACCCGAGCCATTTATTTCGTCCACCGAGTTATATGTTCTAGTTCCAGATGCCACGCCCCTTCCGGATGTTTCAGTTATTTCCCTTTGATTCGACTTTCCACGTTTTGATTTTAAAAATTCATTGAAAATTCTAAAACCCAACGAGACGAAATCTAAGATCCGAAAATATGCATCGTGTCATAAGAGATGTAAAATGACAGCGATTTTTCAAGGAAGGAGAATAGAAAGCGGCGATGAATACATACGTAATGTGTAAATATAATAAGGCCATAGATAGATAGATAGATAGATAGATAGATAGATAGATAGATAGATAGAACGAAAGAAGGAAGGAAGAAAAGCAACAAAGAACGAAAGGAAGGAAGAAAGAAGAAAAAATTATGTATATATCTATATATATAAAAGAAATATAATGTAGTGGTTCCAACGAGAGAAAAGTATGTATATTAAAAAGAAGAGAAGAGAGGTGCCGCTAACGTTTTTGGTTGTAATGTGGATTTATTTAGAAAAAATATTATGCTTTGTTTTACATAAATTTACGACACGTGTTTCTGGTCTCGCGACCGTCTTCAGGTAAAAGTGGAGATTTCCACATATTATTAAAAATTTAATTTTTCCTCGTGTTCAATGTTAAATATTCTCGATATGAGACATTTTCTGTTTGTGTGTTGTTAATCTGAATTACTTTCTTGAATTGGCAATGAAGAGTTCTGCGCAGAACTCTTCATTGCCAATTATTGCCAATTCAAGAATCCTTTAATGTATGATTTTATTTTGAAAATACATCCCTTCTTAAAATAGTGATGTTCTTTCTGAGGTTTTGTTCTGGTAACCTTCTTAAAGTTAGCGCAATGAGAATCTCAAAATAATGGCATCAAATTCTCATAAAGAACAGTCTATAAGAGTTTATAATATAATCTTACAGACACTTATTATGATTTTGATCTTAATTGGCTGCCCGGCAGCTAAATGTGAAGATGTGTTACACACACACACACACACACATATATATATATATATATATATATATATATATATATATATATATATATATATATATATATATATATACATATATATATATATATATAAACTGTTTCATGGATAATATTCCCTGTGTTTTAGATTAATTTTCGTAAAAGTTACCAATACGGAAGATGCAATCGTTGGATTAATTTTGGGAGCCTCTACCTTTGCCCCAGGTGGCTCTATTGCTGCACTTGATTTATCTGTGCCGTTTATTACAAACGCTGTAAAATTCGTCACGCATCAAATATCGGAAGTAGATTGTCAAGAAGTACTATGATTAAATAAAAATATATGGAAATAAAACATATCGAAAAACAGGTTCTATTTAGCAAATATAACATGCACCTTGAACATACATGAAGGATTTATCTGGGAAAAATATTTGTCGTATAAATAAAAATAATAATGTATATATATATATATATATATATATATATATATATATATATATATATATATATATATATATATATATATAATGAACAACAGACACTTTAAGGTACCATTACAATAATTTATTTCACCAAAATCCTTTTAAAGGATTTCGGATCATCAGGTAACTCTTCCAACAATGAAATGAGAGGAAAATGTGATTAGAAATTGATGGGTAGTGTAATTTTTGTAATTAAACAGGGAGGGTGAAGGTGGCGGTTAAAGAGACAATACAAATTATAGTGAGGGTTAAATTTACATCTCTCTTAAATAAGCCTTAAATTGGGGTAGAAGGAGTGACCTAACCTTGACCTATTTATGTGGTAAATGAAAAAGGAAGTGTTATATAGAAATAGTGAGGAAAGGAAATAAAGTAAAGGGAAAAGAAAGAAAAAGTGGAAAATAAGAAGACGTATCCAAAAGTGTTATATTGCAAAGAGGGAGGGGGAGAGGGAAGTGAATCGAAAGAGAGCTAACGAATAATAACAACAACAACAACAACAACAATAATAATAGAATCGCTAAAATGTAAATCTCCAGGAAAAATGGCAAAAATTGAAATCCGATGGTAAATCCCCAAAATGAAAATCCCCATGAAATGACAAGTTACCCAGGTTTTAGCTCTTACACAAACTTTACCAATGATAATTAATAACCCTAAATGAGATTCCAGAATGGATCCTTGAAGTTATTATAAAATTCCTACCAAAAAATGTACTTTGTAATCTGTGATGATGCCAAAATTATGCATAAGTCGACATTACAGAGTTAAAAAAAATTATTGTGCACATGAGAACAGTTAAACATACCCCAAAGTCACTTTCCGTAGATTATGCTCAGTGCTTTTCTAACTAAAGTTTTCTCTAACTTCAGTTCTTAGTTAAATGAAATGCGAAAGAATTCTAACAAACAACTAATTTGGAAAGCTACAAACTGGAAATCTAATACTAGAGTAAGAATTCATTTTTCGCAACAAATACATATTTTCCAAGATAATATCTTTCCTTGTCAATCCACTTAATTCAGTTATAAAATTTAGTCCCACACCGTAATTCGCCATATATAATGTTCATTTTTCTAAAAAAAATAATAAGCAAAGTTAGGGGGTCGTATTATGCAGATCTACAAAATATCTTTGAAAAATGTGCCGTTCCATAGGTCGATTTCAGTTGCTAAATGAATACTCACCACAAATATAGGACACTTTGCCACTAACATTCGGCGATAGCGACCACATAAGGATGGCATATACAATCATACGTATCTAACAATATTTACAAATGTAAAATAAAATAAGAATTTTCATAAAACTAAATTAGTATAATATTATTCTGTTTAAAACACTTTTTTAATAAGAGCAGGAAACGCCGGCCGTAATGAAATTGGGGAGGTACAACTTAAAGGGTTTGATTATCAAAAAAAGTGTGTGTATTATGCATAAGTAGAAGCATTTACCCATACTTTCAGCAGAATTTTAGGGGTGCGTATTATGGATGAAGGCGTGTTATACATGGGGAATTACGGTATATAAACACTTTTAAAATATTATATCCATTCAGGGTACGGATGACCGTGGTCCTCCACAGAAGTCTTTATTATCTCTGAATTTTCATGAATTTATTGCAAAGATGGAGTCCCTTCCTGCAACCTGAAATCGAAGGTTTTATTCTTGCTGCATAGGTTCAACACCGGGTAACTATAAAGATATACAGCACATTCATTGAAAAATTGTGTTGACGACAAACGCAGATTCTATGATAAATATCCAGAAAGAGTTGACAGTTCTTGTATCAGCATGCACGTTATTAGCACCAACTGAATATAAAACTCGAAAAAGATGGCGAATATCTTCACTGGAAAATCTACAACGTTTACAAACAACTGGTATGTACATTACTCGGACCTGGTTACAGAGATAAGACCTGTAATAATTTTAGGGGATTATACAATAAACACAGACAGAGCAATAAACTTTAATCACCTAGACATCGTGATCAGAGACTACAAGAATCGAATATGTTTTCCTGTTGGTATAACAGTCCCTGAAAATTGTAATGTGTCTTTGAAGGTCTTCAAAAAACTATCAATATCGATCTTGAAATGGAAATCTAAAAAATGTGGTACTTGAGTTTATCAATAATTTCAGTTGGAGTTGGAATCTTCGGATTGATTGCAAAATGTTTCGATAGAGTCATTGATACGATTCCTGGTAGCCTATGCATTAAAGAAATACAAAAAAAACATAAGTACAGCTCTCACATTACAAAGAGCTTTATTTTAAGACATTTTTATGTTTATACATTCTTTTTATAGATACAAATATATAAGTGAATGCTCTGTTTTATAATAAACAATATTTTTAACATTTACCGGCCTGAATGTGCGAGAAATTTTCATAGAAAATATTCGTCCTCCGACTGTAATCGAACCTGTATCCTATACGGAACCGTTATTTAGCCTAACGTAAGTTAACCGATCGTGCCATGGAGAATAGTACGATTAGCAAGGTCGAATTTACTGTTTTTAAACTACAATCTTCCATGATTCTCTCGCGTACATTCATATCTGCTCAAAGCGTATAAATCGGATTTCATTTTTACTGTCAACTTCTTTACTAGAGAACTAACTAAAAGGAATCTGTGATTAAGAAATAATTATGCATAGATATTATTGTGGTTACGCATTTATATTGAGTGCTGGTGATTAGTGTATGAGCCAAGAAGAAAAGAGCATTTCTCGTTGTTTCAAATCCATTTCAGTTATTATAAAAAGAAAGAAAATGATTGTTTCTTTCAATCAGTTTCATAAGAAAATAGACAAATAAATATCCTGTGGTCAGAATGATTGACATTAGAATCGTATCGAAAGGGTTAAACTGTTAAAGATATTCGAATAACTGATAGCAAATATCCTGGGAGGCAGAGCTGATAAAAGGTTGTAGCGTCGCTAGAAAATATTTCTTAAGGAAGACGTTTCTTTCTTTACAATGATAAAGAGTGTTGGGGAGTGTAGGGGAGGCTGGAGTGTGTGCAGTGCATTCTTGAAAGCGTTCATGGTCCGGGTTGGCGTTAATTTAGTTCGTCCGAGCGATGACTGACATCGTCTTAATGCCTTGTTTGTTGATGTGACCTTTAGTGGCCAAAGTGAGTTGATCGGTCCACCTGGATGGTCATTCAGTTAACCTACACAAATCAAACGGAAGCAGCAAAATATTATTTGGTGCGCTTCGGTTAATAAATAGCACACATGATCTCCACATTATAGCCATCGCATAACACTCTAACACTCATACACAGGGACACACACACGTATATATATATATATATATATATATATATATATATATATATGTGTGTGTGTGTGTGTGTGTGTGTGTGTGTGTGTGTGTGTGTGTGTAAAACGACAACAACTCTTCATTTATGCAGGTAAAACACAAACACACATATATATTAATGTATATTGTATATTTAAGCTTTACCTTAGTTTCTAAGTTGTTCTGTATAAAAACAGTACTATTATATTTAGACAAAATGACACTTCGAACGTAAATACGATAAAAATATACTTAGCAGTTGAAAATGCCAGTTGTCCGAAAGTGCTTGGAACAATAATTGTGAAGGATATTTTATACAATATAATAGTCACCATAAAAGGAACAAAATAATTATTAGAAAAACTAAATAAGGCAAAATGCAAAAATGATTATGTCTCTTATATTCAATGAAACACAGACACAAAATATATATATATATATATATATATATATATATATATATATATATATATATATATATAGTGTGCAATGGGTATATTTTCGCCATTTTATATTATTTTTGAATGCACATTTAGTAGTCGGGCCCCGTATAAGATAAAAATCATCTAAACGCAATCTATTCCGCCAGATATTTAGAAACGGCATTGTGTACTACTTGGCATCCGCACCGGAATCTCCAATACAAATATTTCAAACTGCTTTGGTGTCAATATGAGGACAGTGCAGAAGATACGGAATAAGTTGGATCAGTCTATTGGTGATTACGAAGGTACGGCAGCCCAGAAAATTAATTCTGATCGACTCAGACTAAATACGGAGCTTCCATTAAGTGTCTTGAGTGCTGCCCTGTGTCAAGGGAGTGGCTGTTGGAAGACACTATGTCTGGCAACATGACTTTGCACCATGCCACACAAGCAGGAAAACCCACTCATGGTTATCAGACAATATCTGTGACCACATCACCGGTTACCTCTGACGACATAACTCCCCAGACTGTATGAGCGAGAGACCAACAAAACTCTTTGTAGCACCAAAGAAGAACTGAAGGCAAGGAGAATGGCTGCATTTACCAACTTAATCAAGGAGACTACCCAGAAGAGTTACAAGAGATTCCGAAGACGCAAATCGCGATTTTATTGAATAAATTTACTCTTTATTATCTCGAATATCTTTGTGTAATTTTGGTAAATATATCTGTTAAAATGAGATGCGAGTTATTTTCATATTTATCCATCTCACCCTGTATATGCTAAAGAAAAAAAAAGTGACTAATAGACAACTAGCCAGAAGATCTAACACCAAAAATCCCGAACAAAGAAAGAAATAGAAAGACCAAAAGGCCAACTCCCCATTACTTAGTAAACTAAAATGTTCAACGACCAGATTATCGAGGTAGTCTAAAATGCTTCATAATGCCAACACTTCATAAAAGACACTCCAAGTTGTTACTCGTGTTTCATATTCTTTGATCTTTAGACGACTATAACGCCTTATCTCTCTCTTTGTACCTCTGTCTCAATATATATATATATATATATATATATATATATATATATATATATGTGTGTGTGTGTGTGTGTGTGTGTGTATATATATATTATGAAATGAACGAAGTCTCACAATTATTTAAGACATTTTTTATGTTCATACGTTCTTTTTTAGATACACATATTTAAGTAAATGCTCTGTTTGCAATAAACAGTATTAACATTTACCGGCCTGAATGTCCGAGAAATTTTCATAGAAAATATGCCTCCTCCAACAGGAATCGAACCCGTATACGGAACCGTCATATAGCCTGACGTGACTTCGGTTAGCAAGTAACAGTAAAATCGACCTTGCTCACCGAATGCTCCTCTGTGGTTCAATCGGTGAAGTAACGTCAGTCAATATGACGGTCCTGAATCCTGTCGGAGGACGCATATTTTCGATGAAATTTTCTCGAACATTCAGGCCGATAACTGTTGTTAATACTGTTTATTATAAACAGAGCATTTAATTAAATATTTGTATCTATAAAAAGAAATTATAAACATAAAAAATGTATATATATGGAGAGAGAGAATACAGAGCAGCGTAAACGTTCTGATATTTTATAAGTAAATATGCCTTGCACAATTACATACCGATGCACTTATAGTAATATTAAGAAAATAAAATAAAAATAATTATTACCTTAATTATCTTTCTATGATTGGCACAACGAAAATATCAATAAATAATGAAGATAATACCAACAGCAATTATTTATTTATCATTGTCACATCTCTAATTATACTAATGAACAAGTTTATGACAAAGACAAGTATTAGTAGTAGCAGTATTAGTAGTAATTCATGGGGAATTTGATTAGAATGAAGGTTAGAGAAAAGTATTTTATTCCTTACCATATAAACTATTCTTTCTATAATTAATAATACACTTTAAGTGCACGTACCAGTGAACAATGGATAAAATGCAAACTCATTGCCAAGGCTGGATACCAAGTAAAGTAATTATGTATCATTTGTAGGTTCCATAGAATCATATTTCTTACAAGAGTTTGGTTTTCGAACCTAGATTCAATCGGTGATTTTTAAAATCAAAAGAATGATCTTTCATGTCTTGAATATTGATACAACACACTTCCTCATCACAAGTCACTACAACTATCTTCGTGTGCATTAGAAATATCCAATATATATTGCCTTTAGGGTACGTTGGATAACAGAAAGCGTTTATATTTCACGAAGAAAAAATAAAAGGTAACATTTCGAATTATGGATTAAAAGTAAGCCCTCTCTGTTTGAAAAAAAATACCAACAAAACACAATCTTTTTGCCCCAGAATGTTCTGCTCTGTATTAGGTTAGTCAGTAATAAGAAATATTTATGGCCAATATTTATTCATGAGGTTTTATTTAATAGAATGAAATTATATGACAATTCGATCGTAGTCAGATTCATCTTTTAAAACCAAACAATAATGAAATGGAGGAAATAATCTGTAGAGAGAATTTTTCCCGCCAAAATACGCAAGGGAGGCAATCGAGAAATTATCATTCACACATTAGTTTCGTTCAGAATATAAATATAACAAAAAAGCAAATTTTAAGGAAACTAATGTTGAATTCAGCAAATTTTTAGTCTTTATTTTGCAACTGTAATTCACTATCAGCAAAATGATTGCGCCTGCATCACCCTCCTCCTGTATTCTTTTCTAGATTTTCGCGGTAACCGCGCCATATTACACTCCTCTCTTTTACCCCTTTCCTTCCTTTTTTATCCATCTCATAATTCCTACAACAACTCCCAAAATCTTTCTCTCCCCGTTGGCTAATTTCACAGCATTTGATTTTTATCCTTGACACTTGTGCTCATTATTTTCATTATGGATATATACGAAGCTTAAAGTCGTTTGGCAAAAGACTAAAAGATGGGAAAACCAATGACAGATGAAACGGGCTATGATTAACATAAAATTATTAATTGTAGTATTATTATTTTTTCTTTGATTTCTGGCGTTTACACATTTCTTTCCGGGTCCCGCCCAAGGACCTAAGATTATGGCATCATCACACTTTCCACTGAAAATAAAAAAAAAAAACTTACATAGATAAAGCCCTTCGTAAAGTGTGGGCTGTACTTGTCAAAACAATTTTTTGTATCTCCTTGAGGGATTGACTTCCAGGAATTCCTTTCAATTAATCTACTGCAATCTTTTCCACCCAGTCCTAGGGCTCCAACTGCAACAGGGACTGTTGATGTTCCCATATGCCACATTTTCGAGATTTCTATTTCAAGGTCCTTGTATTTTGACAGCTTTTTGAATATCTTTAAAGATACATTGCAGTCAGCAGGGACTGCCATATCAATAAGGAGGCACCATTTTTGTTTGTGGTCTTTAATAACAATATCTGGGTGGTTGCCCTTGATTGTTCTGTCAGTGTGTATTGTGTAGTCCCATAGAATTATAACAGGTCCTATCTCCGTAACCGATTCATACCAGTTTCTTTCAGTTTCCTTCCCGTAGAAGTTGCAGATTTTTATTATTATTATCATTATTATTATTATTATTATTATTATGTTGTTGTTGTTGTTGTTGTTGTTTCCTTTGATTTCTGTTGTATAGACATTTCCATCCGAGGTCAGAAATGGCTTCATAACACTTTTACGCTGAATATTTTTGTAAAAAAAATTTTTTTTAAATATAAAACCCAAAGATAGCGCATATTTTACATAGATAATCGTAATGTAAATATTAGACTTGTGGATACAATTTTTGTATTTCTTTAAGGCATAGGCTACAATGAATCCTTCATTGATTCTATCGGACCCTTTTTCAATCTATCCGAGGCCTCCAACTGAAATTATTAATGTCCACATGACAAATTTATAAGATTCCCACTTCAAGATCCTTGTATTTTGATAGTTTTTGAAGAGCTTCAAAATACATTACAGTCTTCCGTAACTGCCTTGTGATTTTTTGTTTTCTTTGAGCCTGATGTCTGGGCGATTAACATTGATTGTTCTGTGTATGTGTATTGTCAATTCCCAAGAGGTCCTATATCTGTAACAGGGACTGGGTAGTGTTCATTTCCTTGCAGTTTATTTCCCATAAACTTCTATTATGAGTCGGTTCCACATATCAGTGGTTTGCGGCAAGCAGCTTCGCGAGTGAAACTAATTTCAAACCAATGCAACACGGAGGTAATGTGGGTGGATTGCTGCAATGTGATTGGCATGACGAGTCGTATCCTTTAAAACTATTATTGTTATCATTATTATTATTATTATTATTATTATTATTATTATTATTTTCACATTTTCATTCTTAAAAATCGTAGCGAACAAGCGTACCCCATCCAATAGTTATGGAAGAAATCGGCTCGGATCGATTCTCTCGTCATGAGGGGAAAGTTTTGTCAACAATCCATGTGGAATGAAGTCAAAGACTAGACAGAAAGACAATATGAAGTTCGGATATCTGAATAAATCTGCATATATTCCAGGCTATGAGAGCCTCCTTAGTAGAACTAGCATAAAATTAAATGAATACAGTATGGGAGGCCATAAAAGAAATAATGAGAAATGACAATAAAGATACAACGGCAGAGAAAAGAGAAAAAGAATTTTCGGGAAAAACAATAAAGTCTGATAAACAGCAGCAGCAATGGAAGCAGCAGGCGGAGTAGATTTTAAATTCCAAGTGCTAAACTCAGGATGACACCATGATACAAATATTTAGTGAATTAGATCGTAGGTTCGTGAATTTGGTGATTTTGTAATTTTGCACCGGGTAGTGTAGGACAAGTACGAAATAATCATCGTCAGTCATGTAGATTGTGTCTCGTCTTTAGAATTGAATTAGTTTAGTGCTATTGTTGGCAAAGTCCCTTAGATTTGAATATTCCTTCTATCTTCAAGGAAATCCATTGGTTTCTGTTTATATCATTTTTTTCTGGATGGCGAACCGGAGAATTTACATAATTCGTATTCCTTATTCTGTAGATGACTTTATGTTTGATTGGACACTGTCATTTTAATGTTTCAGATACTTTTGAAGAAGAAATAAGAATGTTAAAACTAAACACATCCGACAAAAAACATTACATCTGGGAATTAACCATCTACGGCCCGCTAAAGATGCATACACAGTACATATATATATATATATATATATATATATATATATATATATATATATATAAATATATATATATATATATATATATATATATATATAAGTGTGTGTATATGTGTGTGCATGTGTTTATGTATGTATAGATAGATACATAGATAGATAGATAGTGGATGTGCGTTGTGTTGTAATTGATATGGGTTGCAGTTCGTTATGCAAAAATATACTTTGTATGAATTCATATATCTTCTCCGACAGCTATGGGTTGAATAGCAGAACTTATTGGGTTTCTTAGACTTTGTTGGCAACTAATCTACCGCAGAAATAGCAACCTACTGCGGGAAAATAAAATAATCTGCCTCGTAAGTCATGTATCGAATGCGTGTATCACGTATGGCATTTAACTAACTGATACACACACACACACACACACACACACACATATATATATATATATATATACATATATATATATATAATTAATGGCTGGCCGTCTAGCAGGGCAGCTAGCTGATCCCTATTGCAGAAGCTTGCTCTGGAGGATTTTGTATTTGTTCCACACATAAAGGCCACCTGTGGTTTATACTGAAACTATGCTGATAAGACATTAGTTAAAATTTCTTGGAGAGAAGCGTGTTATCTAGCGTAATCAAAAATTTGAACAAGGCTCGCACACTTAAATCCTTGGTTATGATGAGTTGTTAATTCGTTCTAGCACTGGCATGAAAGGGTTTTGTTTATCAAATTTTTATACACAAGGCTCGTGTCAAACCGTGGCATGATTTCTCAGACAGTTTCCATAGTTTCCGCTGGCATCGTCTCCTACAGACCGACAACATCAAGACATCACTTTTGATTTATGTATACCGTACTGGTATCTAACGTCGATTTTGATATTTAAGTATTTTTTTTAGAACTGAACTACTAACTACAGGTATGCCTTGATTATAACGGTGAAGACATGTGTGCAAAAAAGTATACAATTTCTTCAAATGACTGATACCTAAGAAACAAGTCAAAGTGAGCAATGGAATATTAAAACATAAACTCCTCAGGATTGAGTTTTGTGCATCTGTGTGTAGTGTAAGGATACGCGGGTTGTTTAATTATTAGTGATATGGATATAGCCTGGATATACTTATGGATCCATCTTCTCTTGACAAGCTGAGTAGGCTCTCACGCCTTGATTGCCAACCATATCCAGAAGGAAAACTAGTATATATATATATATATATATATATATATATTTAGAAATGTGTGTGTGAGAGTGTGTAAATATATATATATATATATATATATATATATATATATATATATATATACCGGGAAATTTAGAAGATAAAATTGTAGTTGATAACAATAGAAAAAGTTATCATTGTGTTTGAGTAACATTTATCATTATTTAGATGCAGTCCAATCGCAGGGAAAATAAACTGGAAATCTTGTAAACAAATAAAGGTAAGTGCTTAAGTTGTTAGGATCAAGATTTCCCATAGGCAATTGTTGATTATAAAAAAAAAAGAAAAGTTTTTTCTTTAGTATTTCGTCAAAATGTTGTTTCGAAATGAGTTCAGTAGTGGTAAATATTCTAATATTCTTGTACACAATGTTGCTTTTAAAATCCCTACGATGACAAAAAAAGACCACAGTTTAAAAAAAAGATCACAGTTAAAAAAAAAACAAGGTTTTATATGAATCCTCTGAAAAATAATGGTAATACTTTTGTAAAATTTGTAATTTTATGGATATATATATTTGTATTTTTTACGGATATATATATATATATATATATATATATATATATATATATATATATATATATATATGACGTCGTCCCCTGGTCGCAGCGCCAACTGTGACGTTCTATCCTGGTCTACCACGGCACCAACTGTGACGTCCCTAAACAGCACCAATTGTGACATCCTCGCCGCGGCGCCAGCCGTTCGCTCATCGCTGCTCCGTTCGGGTGTCGCTGCTCCAAA